TCACGCTTTACCTTTTTCAACTTCTTGTGTAGTGGAAAATGAAAATTCTACAAGAACAAAATTCCCGCATTTGATTTGAGAGAGACTGAGAGAGTAGCGTTGTAGTTGTGGTAAAGTGGAACGTTGAAGTTACTTCAAAGCAAAAACAACACACGTCGCCATTTCTAGCTTAAGAACGGAGCTTATTGAATACACTTCGAAAACTTCAAATTCTATTATGATTACAACTGCTTGAAGAAAAAGAAAAGGTGAACTACCACGTGATCCATACCAAACAATTACAAAGGTAATAATTGATCCATGATATCATAATCTCATCTCTTCTGTTGCGCAGCATCACCGCCAAGCATTTCTTACGTATTTAGATTTCATAGCAAGTTTTAACATTTAATATACTTATTTTAGTATTTAATACCTTATATCACATTTATATTTACACAATAAAGAGGAAAAGAATGTTCCATTCCTCTTTCCTTGCCCCATAAGCACACCAACTCACACTCCAATTGGTTTCACCACCCGCAAACACCATAACTAAAAACATAAATTACTTTCTTCTCTTCTTGAGAACCCTTTTGTGTGGGTTGATGAATCGGCTAGACACCACCAATAGATTAATATAAGTTAACACGGAACTGGGTGTTCATATTTGGGTAGTCGCATTTTCGGCTACTCTAAATGTTTGGTATCCGAGATTTTTGGGTATAAAAAACTCAGCCCATGTCCCAGTCCATGATAGTCGGGTATCCGCAACACATCCCTGAGATTGCGCTTTCATTCCTTCCTTTATTTGCAACACAAACACACACTTCATACATGATAAGATCATTTAGAACACAAACTATATGAATTTCTGATACAATAACGGTTAATAACGGTACAGTTCCGTGAAAATCTAAAAGCCCCCCCATTCACAACAAACAACTCAACTAATATTACATTAATAAAATCCTAATCAAAATCAAACCATTAGTTAGACCACACATGAACTAAACCAAGCCTATTACCAGTATAAATCTCATTGCGTTCTTCGTCGTAGAAAGAGCAGTGATATCTTCTAATGCTTCTGCAACTGTGCTTCTAATTCTCGACGTGTTGCTCTGTGTTTTCAAACTGCAACTACATTTGCCACTGCAGCTGCATTGTTTTTCCACAGGGAAACTGTTGCCTGCCTTTATTTTAGCAAGACATTTACCAGTCAATATATTGCTGATATTAATGGAGCCTGCCATAACAGGGATGTAACAAATTCATTAGCCGCACATTCAGATGGTGAAACAAATACAAACTAAAGAAAGATGCGAAAAACAAAGAACATTAAATAAACCAACAAATTATCCTGCTTTACCAACATGCCAGGCATTTAAAACTGAGTTTTAGGGTTGTATTTCCAAGAAAGTAAGAAGTATAAGGAAAGAAAATACTAACCGTTTCCTTCCGATAATGGATCATCAGTGTCAGCCTTGCAGTATGAGATAATAAGGTCTTGATCACTTGTGATGTATATATTATTAGTATTGCAGTCAGGATGCCACAAAAGGTGATCCTCAAATGAAGTTACAAGTTCTCCACGGAAATTCCACACAGCCACTGTCCGATTTCTAAATGTAAGAAATAACTGGTTCTCATACAGAAAAATAAATGCTGACGGGGTCATAAATTCATTTTTGTTAACTTCTGTTAGCTCAGAATTGCGGACCTGCACAATTACAGTGTAGAATTTTTTTTAGCTACCGAACCTCCTATTTTTGGAATGGAATAAATGAATATTCACAAAGATGCTTACATCAAGAATCTGGAGGTTTTCATTTTCCTGCTTCACAAGAAGCTTTTCATTGAACTGTTCAATGAAATCCACCTTCTTATTCCGGTGAAGAAGATGACTAAAAGATTTGAGAACAGTACCATCCTCTATTGAAAGAATCTTAAGAGGAACATGGCCACCAACTTTAGCGAAAATTAATAACATGATCCCTGGACTGTCAAAAATAAATGATGGAAATGAAGTCAATTACGTAACGAGAAACCATTAAAGCAAACAAGTTAAGGCACCATTTGATTGTTACTGCCGGTACTTACTTCTTGTTTGTTTGGACTAAATAATTAGAAAAACAGTAAATTTTTACAAGAATAAAATGCATAATGTATACAACAGTTAAGCAACAATCAAGAGGAGCCTAAATTATTAACAACTATTAATACGTACAGAAGAATAAGAAAAGCACAAAGTTTCCCTTTTATTATCAATGAATGAATCTTTATTCTTGCAGGAAGAACACATAACCATCATGAAAGGAGCATTACCTGATTTTAATCTCTTGTACATTTCTATCTGATATGGAGTATAACATTGTATAATTTTTTAGGTCAAACACCTTGTATATGCTGATTACAAGACAAAAACAATATATATCAAACTCAGAAATCTAGTTAAGGAACCAATTGAGTTTAGCACAAAAGGGGATTCAATAGATGAGTGATTACCTATCCTGTGCGGAATAAGTGAGCACCTTCCCATTTACATCATCAAACTCAACAAAACCAGGCCATTTCAGTGACTCAGATTCAAAAAGAGCAAAACCAGCATCAGGTTGACCTCTCCGTATGTATCTGTCCATCAAACAGAATAGTTTCAGAAGGAAAACATCCCAAAAGCAGTATTTCATGTTTTTCTTTGATATTTTCCCCCATTTATCTTTTCAGATCAAAATGGAATAAGACAAGGGTTCTAAAGAGGTTAAAATGGATAGACATACTCAATCCTTGTACTTCTGCATTTCAAAGAGCTGAAATTGTCTGATGCGTAAACTGAGACTGTGATGAGTGAGTCATTGTTTTTATTGTAAAACAAGCTTCGTATAACTTCATCAGCAGTGACATTTATAAAGCATATTCTTTGATTAGTTTCTGCATCCAAAAACAATAAATATCAATACCCGCAATCTAATTCTTGATGCAGATAGAACAAAAAAGACAATCAAAAACAAGTTTAGAAGGTAAAGCATGATTCCCACCTCGGCTAAATGCCGCACATATACCAGATTGGGCAAGAGCAAAGACAATGTCTCGTGCAGCTACAATCTCTATAATCTTTGACCTCTTCCTCAGAAATGATAATACCATCGAACAATGTCCTTTTGGATCATGAGTATCATATTCCTCCTATGTATACACGTGCAACATATTACCAACATATTCCTCCTATATATTTGAGCTTATATTTCTTACTCGAATTTCTCAAACAAGCTTTATCAAACAAGGAAATAATTAAAATCGACATCAGGAATCTTTGGAAACAAAATTCCACCATTTAAAACTTCTTTTAACTTTGATTTTATATCCGAAAGCAGAGTTCTCATGTAAATTGAATAGAAAAATAAAAAAAATCCAAGCTTTAATTGCAATAGCAGTATATATAGAAGAAGATTTGTGCAATAATAAAATAATTAGAGCAGGGTTAGGTAAAGTAAGTAAAAGAAAGAACCTGCAAGCGAATGTTGCGGAAACGCTCCTGGGCGTCGGTGATGGAGAACGCACGGTGTCGCTTGGAGCAAATTTCTCTTCGCTGAAGCTTCTTGACGCTGTTAACAAAGCCATCCGCTCTCCCTCTCTTCTTCGATGCGACTATTCTCCGTCCACAGCAAGGCCTTGGGCTCACAGCTAATCTCCGCCCACCATCCATTACTTTTCAATTTCCTCCTTTGAATCTAACTAAGGTCTTCGCAAAACCCTAACTCCAAAAATACCCCATAGCCGCTGGTGGTGGTGGTTGCACTGGGATTTCAGCTCCCATAAAATTAACAGCCTTCCTACTCCTAAATCCTCCAGTTCTAGGGCCTTGCTTAGTAATGCTATGCTGCCCAAAAAATTATCTGCCAGAATACTGTCTACTCCCAAGCAGAAGATAAAGATTGTTCCTCTGTTATCTTCTCTCTCCCTCCTCTTTACTTCTTTCCGTCTATATTCCGGTTAGCATGCCGTACGATCTACTTTTTCAATTTTCGAATTGAAATTAAAAACTAAATAAATAAACAATAGGATTTTTATTTACTCAACTGTTACTGAATTACATGCGGTCATTTGTCAATAAAGTTGGTATTTAATTTTTGAAAATTTTCAAGTACGTGTCAGCATATTATTTATTGTTCGTGTACAGATTAATGCATTAAACGGTTTACGAAGTAAATAAAAATGAGATAAATTATGTGTTTAATATATAAATTATTATTTTTATTCTGTTTTAATATATAAATTTTATTTTTTAAAATCATATATAATATTTTTTTTAATTCATTGTCGTTAAAAATTTAATGATGATATTGATATGTCATTATAAGATAATATCACGTCATTATTAGAAAATACCACATCATTAGTTCTGTTAAATTTTTAATGTTAAGGTACCAAAATATAACCTAAACTATATGATTTTGAAAAAAAATAAAATTTGTGTACTAAAATAAAACTAAAGTAATAGTTTAATTTACCCATAAAAATTATAAACAATAAATTACATGAAAATGAAAATATATATTTAAACTATAGGTAAATTGCATTATTCACGATTTAACTATATTTTCACTATGATTTTAATCACTAAATTTAGATATATTCAATTTAATAAATCATTTTTAAATTATTCTTATTTCGATCATAATCTTTAATCTACAAAGCCTAAACTCTTTTTTTTACTCTCATCGATCATATTTTTATTATTTTGGTCCCATTATATCAAACATGAAGAATACAAGATATGAGTTAACATTCAATGATTTTAAGATTTAGTTTAAAATCTAAGGTTTTTGGGTTGTAATTTTGGGTTAAAGTAACGTGGTTACATAAAGAGTTAGAAATCTAAAACGATAAGGATATTGGAGTATACCACGTAGGTTAGAACAGACTGAGAGTGTTGTAGAATAGATATACACCAAGATGCTAGATAAGATAGTACTAGGTATTGAAACAAGGGGCACGATCGAAGCAGGATGTTCGGGTGATTAATGAGTGTTGGGAGTAGGGATGAGAGAGAGAACTTTGAGAGCGAGTACGAAGCGATGAAATTTAGTTTATGAAAGATCAAGGAGGCACAATATCGAAAGATGGTCGAAAAAGAAAATAACATTAAACTAGATGCTAGGATAAGTTTAAGATTTCAAGGTTTTATTTTAATTTAGATTTTGAAATTTAGGGTTGCATACAGAGGGTTAAGAGACTTGATATCAGTAAATAGAGAGAAAAGTGTAAGATTTTTATGATTTCTTTTAATTTTAAATTTAGATGATTAATTTGAAGTTTAGAGTTTGGATTTTAAGTGTTTTTTTAATGTTATATAATATTAAATATTGATAAAATGTGTCACACTTTAAAAATATATTAATAAAAGACGTTATATTATAAGGAAATATTTGTAAAATAAGTTCTTATAGCAATTAAAATACGAGCAATTCAAAAATTAAGAAATTAAATGAAAAAAAATCAACTTAAATGATTAAAAAAAGTAATAAGATAGTTGGGTGAGGTAAAATATTAGTAACAAATTCAATATTGTTTCCTCAGCCCAATCGTTAATGCCTGTAGGAACAGAAAAACCGGTAATAAGAAAGGGAAACACACCAAAAGCAACAACATCGAAGCTCTGTTGCGCAAGAGATTGGATGATCCATCATCATCGTCTATGTCGCCTATTGAGGTAATCAGAAACCACCCAATCCCCGAGCTGGATTCCGCAACAGCAGTGAGAGTCAAAGTCAAGGCCATTAGCTTGAACTTCGCTACTTACCTTAAGATTCAGGGCAAGTACCAGGAGAAGTTTCCCTTGCCTTTCATCCCAGGCTCCGATTATGCCGGCACTGTCGATGCCATTGGCACCGCCCTCGCCAGGTTCAAGGTGGGGGACTACGTTTGCTCCTTCGCCAACTTCATCGTCCAAGACCAATCCCTACTGTCCGTCCCACTCCTTTCCGCCTTAATTTCTAATTGCAAAAAAAAAAAAAGAAGAAGAAGAAGAAGAAAGAAAGAAAGAAAAGAAGAAGAAGCTTAATTAATGTTCCTTGTTGATCAGGTTTGAAGTGCCAAAAGGGTGTGACCTGGTTGCAGCTGCTGGACTCCCTGTTGCCTTTGGGACCTCTCATTTGGCCCTAGTTCATAGGGCTCACTTGACTTCTTCTCAGACATGCCCTTATTTTTTTCACTTCCTTTCATTGGATTCAATTCTGGGTTTTTACTTATATAACTAAAGGAGAGCAATTTTTGTAGGTATTGCCGGTTCTTGGTGCCGCCGGAGGCGTTGGAATTGCTGCTGTTCAAATTGGCAAGATTTGCGGCGCTGTTGACATTGCAGTTGCCAAGTGCCTCTTTTTCTTTCTTTCTCCATTAGATCATTAGCAGCTTTGTCATTCATCTCAAGACTCGAACATTGATATCAATTATTTTTCTGGGAAGCTGAAAAGGTACAGTTTTTGAAGTCTTTGGGTGTTGATCATGTGGTAGACTTGATGAATCAAAATGTAACCACGAGTGTAAAGGAGTTCCCTAAGTCAAGGAACCTCAAAGGGATTGATGTTCTCTTTGATCCTGTAGGTGGCAAGCTTACTAAAGAAACTATGAAGCTCTTATACTGGCGTGCTCAGATTCTTGTCATTAGATTCGCCAGTGGCGAATTCCCTGTAATCCCAGCTAATATCACTCTAGTTAAAGTACTTCACCTTATCTCTTCTTGTTACATTTTTTCCTCAAATCGATGCATCATGTATGGAACTATGCTACCTTCTCTAGTTAGCTATTGCATTCCCGGTTGGACCCTTGTTCTCATGGAGAAAAGCACTAAATTGACCATCTTATTCATTTTTATGTTGGTATCAGTATCGTAACCAGGAAGATCATAAACGGACACGAGTATAGTGTACGATCCTTTAAATATACGATTTTTTTAAAACAATTGAGTATACCTATGAACATATGTCCATATAAATTCATTCATATGATGCAATGTGTTTCTTTCTTCTTCATTTTCAATATATTCAGTTGAGTTTACATAGATCATAAACAGACATCACATGACAATAAAATATGCAAATGAGTTGAAATCTGTGAGATTGTGATGTCAAATTGTGTTCTCTTTTCCTTTTCACAATCATATGGATTCTTGGACTGTAACTTTGGTGATCTTGCGGTTATTTTGCAAAATAACTGCCTAATCTCGATCATATTTGAATGATAACTTTATGAAAATATTAATCATAGACGAATAAAGATATGCACTTGAAAGAGTTAAATATAGCTTTAATGCAGCAGATATGTGTTGTAACCCCCTCAGACCGATGCGGATAACCCGATTCGATCTGGAGTGTCACATTAGGGCCACCAGAGCGACCCACTGTAAAAATAGCAAAAAATTTAAAACTTTTCTTAAAACATGTAAAATCATAAATGATTTATTATTATTTAGAAATAAAATAGGTTTTTCAAACTCAAATATAAAACAAAAGACAATCCACATGCCCCCTAATCACATGTACCATACTCTGCAAGCAACGTCGGAAGAACTCCCTTACTGATGTTGATAGATGTACTCGTACAATTCTTTTAACCTGCAATGGTGAGTAATAGAGTGAGCTTCGGAAAGCTCAGTAATACAAAACTACCAGATGATGCTACATGTCATGTAGATAAATGGGAAGCCATAATTTCCTTATTGAATCAAACGTATACCAATTGCGGAATAATCTGGGGTTCCATTAGTAGTTCATCGGGTAGAAGCCATGAATCTCAGTTCATAAAAACCTTTCATACTATCACGTTTTCATGAGGTCGAATAGGATGTCTAGTGTGTTCCATCAGTACGATAAAATCATAATAGGTACACTAATCAAATGATAGTTCAGTAAAATCCCATAAACCATACTGTAGTGGAGCTTTTTAAACTCGTATTTTAAAACCATCTTACAAAGAGTTAACCTAAGGGAACATCTTAGGGCCTGAGAGCCTACCCAAGATAGATTTCGGGGCCGTGGGGCCTACCTAAGAACACATCTTAGGGCCGCAGGGCCTACCCGAGAATGATCTCAGGGCCACAGAGCCTACCTAAGAGTCACATTAGGTCCATAAAAATTTTCCAGCTTGATCAGAGCTGTACTTTACAAATCTGTATCTCCAAGATACAGTTCATACAATGATACAAATCCATAAGCCATCACCGTTAAGTCGGTGCATCCATAAAACAGTAACCATAGATTTCAGTGTACCACATGTTAAAACAATAAAACAATTTTTCAAAATATAAGGAACACACTAGATAATCCAATTATTTTTCAGATGCATTTTGTAGTTATCAATATGGATAACATGAACTTGTGCAATTTGATCGGATCCCAATAATAAGATCTTATTGAAGAGAATCGATTTCTAACCGATCTAATCAGACATTTCAGATTGATACTTTTAGAATTTCACTAAGTTTCTATATGCATAAGGAAAACATTCAGGAACCTTTATACATAATAATTTTAAATTCAAATTTACTGCGAGTGATTCCATTACCCAAAGGGGTATCAGGAATATACTTTGAATTCATAAGATTTCAGCACAATTGAACCAAATGAGGTATTCAAAATCTTTTCCATATGCGTTACTTGCGTTTTCAAACATGACCGAAGTAATTTTAGATGAAAATATAGAATCGAAGATTCAAGTCATTTACAATCTATGACTGTCGATCGTATTATCAAACAACTCGAGTTACACAACTCCCAAACTGATGCATGTCAACAAGTCAATTCATTATCCTTCCAGTGTATTCACTCTTTAATACCATAATGTAGATCCATAGATCATCCCCATAATCATCACTGAATAGATCTTCCAACTGTCTTTATTTCATTTCCACGTTTCAACGATATCATGAAATACAGACGTACTTGATTCATGGTACAACCCATAAGGACAATTCATCATGTAAGTTCAACAGTGTTTCCAAACTCATCCAATCACCTATTTAATCTTCAGTCATTGAGGTTACTTAGTTCGTTTAGTAAGCAAGTCTATCCCGGTTACTTTAGAGTTTTCTAGAATAATTCAGACGTTTCTGAGTTTCAAATACATGTTGTACTTCTTTTCAGTTCAATTTAGTCATATAATAAAGTCATTCTGGTATTCGTGATTGATTTGTCCCACGAATATCCACTTCTTTATACCGAATGAGTTCTAGAGTTGATCTGAGCAAAGTACTTCCAGAATTATCATCTATCCAAACTTGAGAAGACGAACACACATTCAAGTGATATCTATGTCATTCAGGTATATACATAGCATTAGGGTTGATCAACTCACTTAAGTTGTGTTCCATAACTTTTAGGGGTAGTACAACACCCATGTTTATTTGGATTTCTTATTTAATCCAAAACATTTACTTAGTCTTGTCAATAAGGGCATTTTTGTCATTTTGGTGATCAATGTTTTTTTTTCTATTCATTTCAAAGCTTGATTATATCCATTCATTCCTGAGCTTGGTGACATTCTTGAGTCATTTTCATTCTAGGGGTATTTTGGTCATTTTATATATCCAATGTATTTCAATCATTTCATTCGGTTCGATCTTATTATTTAATTTAATCTTATCACTTACTTCAGTCATTTCAAACAATTTTGACCAAAAAGCACCCTCTATAAACCATTCTTCAGGTATTTACTCAATTCGGTAATTTCCAGGTTAAATGTCATTTCAAATGTTATTAACAAATTTTCAGAAATTTTCCATACAAAGGTAGGATCTCAACAATCAAATCAGTAATTTATCGGTTTAAAAACAAATTCTCAGGTTACTCTCTCATTCAGAGTCAACTTGGACTATTTTCACTACTAAAGGGCATTTTCATAATTTCGCACTTAGATACTTTTGGTATTAACTCTTAACGAAAATAAATATAGTTTAGAGATCCTATGCTTAATTGATTACCCGAACATTCTCGGATCTTAAAATGATTCCTTAACAAACTTCTAATATCTTGTATAAACCCTCTTGGGGTTAAAAACCGATTATCCAAATTTTCTAACATAACTAGCATTTTTTATGCACATTTGTAGTTTTATCAGATTAATATGTCTTTTCAGAATTATTAATCAACTTCCAGGGATAATTCTTGTCATCCTACAACATAAGGGTATTTTTGTAATTTTGCCCTACCGGAGTATTCTCATAATTTCCCATCCAAGTACCTTTAACATTTAACATTTGATGATATAAAATATAAATTATAAATCCATGACTGATTTCTTTATCACTAATCACAAACTTGTAATTTAATTCTAACAATTCCTCAATCTCTTATATCAGTCATTCGATCCGTATTCAGTTACAGAATTTCCACCACATTCATATCGAGTGTATAAATCATTCAACTCCACTAAAATGACCAACATTATCTTATTCATGCATTTACCAATATCAACATATTTCATAAAGCATAAAGAGATAGTAAAGTATTACCTAGATTTTCCGTGCCATATCGATCGACCATTTAAATTCCATTTGAACGCCCTCGATCTTTAATTTAACTTCCAATATTTTCCTCACGATCCAGGCCATCAAAAATTATTAACTCGTATCCAAATAATTTCCCTCGCCATAAAAATAACTTATTAGAATCTAAATAATAATTTGGAAACCCAATTTGCATAAGTAAAAACTTGAAGAGTCAGTAATATTTAATTACTAACATCATGGACTAAATTGATCTTATTTAAACCATTATTCCATAATCATAATAATATTGAAGCTAAAAGACAAGGTAAAGTTTTTACCTAACTTGGATAACTCATCTTGTAATTCACCCCTTTTTGCATTTTATCAACTAAAACCCACGTGATTTGCTCCTTCTTCACTTCAAATTTTCTTTCTTTTTTTTTTCATTTTCTGTAGCCATCTCCACCGAATCTTTGTAGATGACCAAAGAAATTTCACCGGCCGGTAGTCGAACCCGGTGACTAACACATCGGGTCGTCGTCTACGACCATCGTTCGAAAACAAAATACACCATCGAAACCACCTTATATTAATATCATCAAACGAATTCTAAGCAGTATAATGCAAGCGAGAAACGATATGAGGTCCAGTTGGGTACTGTTCGAGCTCCACCTTTGGGTTTTAGAATTGTTGAAGATCGCCCAAGAGACTTTCTAGTTGTTAGAGCTTCATTTGTTTTTGCTTTAGTAGAATCGAAAGATGATGAGGCCATTGGCAAGCCTGGTTGCGAAAAGAGGAAGATAAACTCTGTTTTCCATATCTCTTCCCCTGCCTTTGCTTTCAATGATCGGTGCAGATTACACAAAGGGACCCTCTGGATTGGATCATTTGTTAATTATTGCTAGAGCTTTGGATGTATTCATATGGTCTTCTTGTATCCTGATTTACAAATGAATATTATAAAAAAATCTCATCAATTTGTGGTTCCAAACATTTTGAATAAAATAATATGGTTAACATCAATCAACTATGGATAGAATTCACGTGAATTCTAGAATGCTTTACACCCCATATTAAATAAAAAACTTACCCCACCAATTGAGGTGTGACATGTGTGGTTAACCTCATCTAATGAGGCTCAGTGGTCAGTTCCAGTATTAAATGAGTTAGTAGCACGCTGCACTCACTCATTATTAGTTGCATGTCTTGAAATAGCCTTCTAGAGCACCTATCTTTCGATAGGCGTAGTTTCAAGTGTTCTCTACTTTGGGTTTGAAATATCAGAGCTTATTGATTACTTATGTATGACAGGCCAACCTTGCATTCTCTGCAATTAAAGATAGAAGAGCAATTGGCAAAGTTATGATTACATTTGACGATCCGGGAAATGTAAGATCTAAGCTTTAAGTTATTAGGATTTAGCCGGTGCATGCAGGAGAATATCATTCCATGCTCAAGAGTCGGGAAATGACAATGGTGTTCATAACGAGTTACAAAAAGAAAGAAAGAAAACTTGAAACCGTGAATATTATATTTTCCTGTTTGGAATATACCTAAGTTTTTTTTTATGATTAATGGTATAACTAAGTTAAACATGAATTATGCAACATCTGCAGAATCTCTGTCCATGCTTTATAAGAAATTAGATGTCATAAATCATAAAAAGCTGTTGAAAAATGCTTGAATTTATTGTTAGTAATCTTAGAAATCCAGTAGGAAAATGTTTTTGGAAACTTATTTAATGATGAGCATTTGTAGATGATTAAATTGTTTTCAAGAGAATAAGATAAACATGGGTTATATATAATATAGGATCTTCCAACTCGTCCAAGTTTTCCATGATGATTCAAGGACTGTTTAACATGGTTTAAACTGTTTTCACACCGAGAAAATGTGTTTAATTGAAAAAAAAAATAAAAAATGATTTCTAAGAAAATGAAACTGAAAATATATGGAAATTACAAAAACAAAATACGCCTGTGGTCCAGTGAAAACGGTTTTTCTATTTAAAAAAAACGTTAAGTCAAAATACCTAGTTGTCTTCTTCTTGTTCACTGCTAATGCTCACAATACGCGGATTTACATCTCCGGTGACTAAATTAATGTTTCAACAGGTAGATTCAGTCTGAGTTGCCTTTGCTGGATGCTGAAAGTGCTAAGGAGCTTGTTCAAAGTTTGGGCCAAAGCCCATGATTTGTTTGGTTAACTAGCCAAGGCCCAGGCACAACACGCCTTTCCTCTACAAATTTCCCTAGAATTTAACAACTACGCATCGACGGGGAAAGAAGAGAATATTTGAGAGAAAGCCGAAAGAAAGGAAATGGGGAAACAGCCGGTGAAGATGAGGGCGGTGGTATATGCGTTGTCGCCATTCCAGCAGAAGATAATGAGTGGGCTTTGGAAGGATCTACCGGGCAAGATCTCCCACAGGGTCTCCGAGAATTGGATCAGCGCTACTCTCCTCCTTGCCCCTCTCGTTGGAACCTACTCGTAATTCCCCTTTCCATTTCTATTAACCCAATGCTAGCATAATATAATCATCCCTCTTTTTTAATTAGGGTTTCCTGTATATATACATGTTCCCTTTAATTTCACCTAGGGTTTCGTTTCATTAAATCTCTGTCTCGTTTTCGATTACTCATCATATCTTCTTATGTATCTATCATCTATCTATTCTGCCTGTAAGAGCTGAATATATTAGTTTTATGGGTTCATTGTTGATTTCGCCTTTAATGCTTTCTTACATTTGGAATTCAATCGTTCCTTGTTGCTTTTAATCATGAAAAAATAGTAGTAGAAGATAAACATCATTTATAGAAGAATAATTTTGTAAATTTAATGTTCTTCGTATTTGATTTATTACCAACGCTGTCTACCTTGGTAATTTGTTTATATAGGTAAAAGTGTAAATAGTTCGACTAACATATGAAATCAGCACAACATCAAATCTTTAACCTTTTATTTTAGGGTTCTATTGGATCTAGAAGGTAACTAGACTTTGTTGGTTGGTCTGTTTCTCATTGGTTTAGACTTTAGACAGGAGAAGAATTAAATTTGAGGTGTATTGAGTTTCTGTCTAAGAAGATAAAAAGTGCACCTGTTTTTGAAATTTAGGAACTTGCCTTTTGTGAATCTCTTGAGCGGTCTCAGTGGTAAAAGATAATGTTGTTCTCCCTAGAGGATCCGGATTCGACTAGTTGCGTCTATAGGGTGTGTGCATTGTCAATGGCTAAGAAAATTCTGAACAGATACTACCCTGTAATAATCTCATACTATTAAAAAAAGGAACAGGCCTTTTGGTTTCCATTGACATAGACTTTCATGCTTAATATGTTAATTACTTTTACATTCTTTGGTTGTTGGTCTTCTTCTCAGAAGAACTAAAGTGGAGAAGGAAAGGGAAAAGTAGAGCAGATTAACAGCTATAGATGTAGTAAATTTTAGTGCACCAAAATGTTGACTCAATGTCGACCTCTGCTTACATAATTAATGTTTTGTTATACACAATCTGTATTATTGATTTCATGTATATCTTCTTAGTTTATTTACACAACATATGTAATTGTGTGCACAGATATGTCCAGAACTTCAAAGAAAAGGAGAAGTTGGAACACAGGTATTGAAACCACGAGAAGCCTCCGTTTTATCAGAAAAACACTGATCTATTACATTTTAGACTCAAATTTATCGAGGTTGAATGCAATGATGAACCATGTTTCTTGATTGGGAGTGGATTAGTATCCGACCGTTGTGTCGGTGTGTTATTGGCATGGAATAAATGAATCTGGATAATATCTTCGTTTTTGGTAAAAATAAAATTGTGGATTTGTTCTTCAATTGTGTATGCAAATGATTATGGTGATGCCCTCTTGTATCCCATCCTGACTATCATTATGTTTGCTAGGAAGACAAGTGAATAGAGAGTAAAGGAACATTTTCAATCTAATAATTGAGCTGAACCTTAAATCATGTTAATTTTCATTTTATGAACTCGTGTTACTCGGACGATTCTGGGTATGCATGTTGGAACAGTTGGAATAACGTAGTTTTGAAATATGCCGAAATTTCACTGTCCGAACGTCAACAAGTTGAAATATCCAACTTGTAAAAGATGGCCTTGCAACTGATGAGGATGGGGGTGTTAATGTTAATCAAGAAAAGGTAGGCAATGAGCATGTTACGTTAATAATGGAAACAAGGAGATGGAAGCTGAAAAATGGATTGGACATTGAAGGCAGCCATGCACTAGATGTTAAGCAACTGTTCAAGCAATTATTTAAGCCGTTGCCTTTCTCATACCAAAACTTTTTTTGTTTGATTTGTTACTCGTAAACTTATTAGATTTTTTCTCTAATCGTATCCAAACGCCGGAGATGTTCGAGATGAACTTGAAGTTTACAAGAAGATAACAATAAAAATAAAAATAAAAGAAGCTTGGACGTGGTTAAAATGCGGTCAATTTATTATTGAGCGATCTCAATAGTAAAAAAAATGTTATTTTTAAAATCTGGATTATAATGATAAAATAATCTCAGTAGTAAAAGAAAATTTTATTTTCAAAATCTAAATTATAATGATAGAGGATATCAGTGAAAAAATATGGTCAATTTATAACTGACGTGGTTATGATTGATATCATGTTAGTTTGTAATGTTAAAGGTAAAGATGGGAAAATTTTAATGTAGTGATCAAAATAAAAACTCTGCTAATAATTGACTGACCAACTGTACAATTTATCCTTCTTTTACCGTTCGACTGACCAATAATTAAAGAAAATTGCATGAAAATCAAAATGTAAAAGAAAATATTTCAAAATCCAAAAATATCCTCCTGTGTAATTGACCTAAATAAATAATAATAAGGTAAACTAATTTTTATTTAGAATATAGAAGTGAGAGATTTTTAGTTTGAAAAAATTATAACTAAACACAAAAGTGAAGTTGCCTAGGATTCTCGATTGTTTGGAAGGGCCGGAGCCGATGATGGGATGTTCGGCCATTAGTCCATTTGCAGAGACAGTTGTAAATATTTCCAAATGCTACATATCAAAAGATGGGCCACTCTTCTCCTCTCTACCCCACCATATTTGCCGCCACTTATATTTTCAATTTTCAAGTGTTGATGAAATTATAGAGGGAAAGCCTTGTTCCCTCTCCTAGTCCTCTCTCCTTTTATCACCTTTTATTTGTTTATATTCTCTCCAATCATTTCAAAACCATGCTCCAACCGTAGTCTCACTGCCCTCACTTCCCCTCTCCTTTCATTCTTTCACTAAGGTCCGTGAACCTATTTTATTTTTCTCCTGAATTTATGATCAATTGTTACTTGTATGTTGATATTCATATTCTTGTACTGATTCTTGCTTTAATCTGTTTTCGGGATCTACATCTAGTTATTTTGAATCAAATTTTTGTGCTGATCCTTTGTTTTTCTAATTATAGTTTAGATTTCTTGTTATTTCAGTTACTTTCTTTGAATTTCTATGGAAGTTGAAATCGAGGCGAATCTCTGGCGTTTGTTCTTCCACTTGAATTGTCTTTTTATAATTAAGACCACAATGAAATCGTGGACTGTTAACAAATCATTGAGCGTTTTTTTTCTCTCTCTCATGTCTTAAGTTTGTAATTCAGATTTCTTGATGGATTTCTGATTAGTGTTGAGCTTTTTGTTCATGTTTATGCACTGTGGTATATGGTCAGCTCAAGCATCTGCAGTTTTACATGCTGTTTACATTCTGCAATTTCTATTTAGCGTGATGGAAAACACATGCGAGAACCATACAATACAAGATCAACCTTTCAAGTAGTTAAATTAAGTCAATTACTGAAACTGCGAAGAATGTTGTGAAGCCATCACTCTTTGATTTACTAGAATTCTAAGAATAAACAAATAGTTCTATCAAAATTGCTGAACAACCGGTGATTTGATCCCAGTTTTATAAAGGGTTCTGCCTTTCTTCCTCAGGGTTGTCAAAGTTTGTTGACAAACAATTGTATCCTTTAATTTGATTCGTGATTACATTATTAACACCTAGTTTTTCTGGAAGGATTGCCTGTCCATGGACAAGTTAGGCAAAAGTTTAAGCTTGTAACTTCCATTTTTATCCTTAATGACAGTGGGAAATGTTAATTTTTCTATATCTAAAATTAACCAATCTTTGCCTACTAATTAATTCATCCTAAAAAAGTCAATTAAACCATTTCCTTGTGTTGGCATAAAAAATAGAATCGATCTGGTACTCTTCTTTTGGAGCTTTCTTTTTCCTCTTTTTCTCTTTACAAATTTATTTTTGGGAAATCTTATACAAAGTTGTTTATATAGTTTGAAGACATTTGGAAGTAAATATGAACAAGGCTGATTCAAAGAGCATGAAATCTTGTTGGTGTGAAAGTCATCTCAATCCTGAGAATTCCGAGTGGCTGGCAGGAAATTCCAAAGGTAAGCAACTTACTTTTGAAGTTCTTGCATTTATGGTACATTATTCTTTCTTGTCGGTTTAAATCTCATAAGATTAGCATATCTCCGACTGTGTTGACTATAGATTCTTGTTGGTGCTCTTGATCGCCAATTTAACTATTATCTAGTGATCCAATGACTTGTAAATGATGTAAGATTCTTGGCTGCAGAAATGAACCAGAATATTAACCAAATAATGAAATTGGTGGAAGACAATATTGAAGAGCATTATCAGATTAAATCTGAGGTGATTGACCAAGTTCAGGAACTCCGCCGTATTTATCAGTCTCTGGCCGAGCGCTACGATCATTGGAGCGGTGAATTGCGTAAAACTGTACTTTCTGATTTCCTAACTCAAGGCCCTGACAGTGGTTTGGATCAAAACTCTCCAATGGTTACACCTGATAAAAAATTGGGTATACCCAAGTCTGTTCAACAAGCTTTATCTTTCAGTTCTGGCGGTGGTAGTTCTGAGTTGTCATCGAAGGAAGGGACTGAATCATCTTCGTTCTCATCAGATTTGGATTCTGAATCTTTCGGCTCATCTGTCAACATCTACTTGCGTTCAGTGATGGATGCTGATAACGGGGTAGAGCATCACAAAGTTATTGAGCAAGGAAGTGATCTCCCAACAATGACGGAGAAGATACGAGTGGTTGATGGAGAGAATGTAGAAGGAAAGTTGAAGATGGGGGGAAACAGAAGCTATGAAGAACTGAATGAAAGATTCGCCAAATGTGAAGAAGAGCTAAGGAATTCCAACCTAAAACTCCAGCTTGCAGAAGAAGAGATTGTGAGGTTGAATGCAGAGCTCAAGAAGAGTGAGTCTGTTTCTGTACTTGCTGAAAACATGGCCGTTCAACTCGAATCATTGCAGAGAGACATGAAAATGAGGGAAGCTGATCTTGAGCTGGAGAAGGGGAAGGTAATTGAGTTGCAAAAACAGATAGTTGAGATGGGAGCTTGCTTTTCTGACTCGAACTCCGAAGCTTCAAGGTTGATGGAGGAGATTGCTGGAAGTAAAGAAAAGATCAAGGCAACAGAAGAAGAGATTGTAATGTTGAAGCATGAGCTCGGGAAGAAGGTTTATGATGATGCACATGACGTGCTAGGCCAGCTTGAGTCTGCCCAAGAAGAGATAGCAACATTAAAGGCCGAACTAGACATAGACAGGAGGCAGGTTGTGAACTTACAGGAGCAGATTTTGAGGTACAAGGATGATCTATCTAGTCGTGGTCGTGAAGTTGAGGAATTAAAGGGTGCATTATGTGATGCCCAGGATCATTTCTCTATGCAGAAAGCAAGTTTCCAGTCTGAAATTTTTGGCCTGTTAGAAAAAGAGACCCATTTAGAGGCAAGACTCAAGGAATGGGAATTACGCGGAAGACTATTGGAGGAAAAGTTACGGGAAATTGAAACAGAAAAAATGGAAATGAAAGGTTTGTATGATGTTCAAGAGACTATGTTGCGAGGTCAGATAAGTCAGCTAAGGGCAGAAGTCAATGAGAAAGCTGTAAATGTAGAAGCTCTGAATAAGGACTTTGACAAAGTGAAATTCAATTATGATATGCTTATGGCAGAGAAAGATGGAGCTACTGCAAAGGGAAACACTCTCGTAGCCGAGGTTCGTTCCCGAGATTCACTGATTGGGAAAATGGAGGAGCATTTAGAACAATTAAGCAGGGAACATCAGCAGCTGATTTCAGGATCAAAACATGCAAAGAATGTAGAGAATGAATTGAAATTGAAGATAAAGGACCTTGAGAAGGAAGTGGATAGGCATAGAATTATGATGTTAGATTTGGCTGAGGAGAAAAGAGAGGCAATAAGACAACTTTCTTTCACTCTGGAGCATTACATGAGTGGTTATAAAGAATTTCAGGCATTTCTCAAGCACAAAGGACATGCAGTTAGGGCTTCATGAGTTTCATTAATTGTGTTAGTATAGTTTACCAGTCTTGATTGTATTCCCCCCCGTTTTGTTGGATGCTTTTGTTAAATTTTCTTTTTTGTGTCAATTAGTTGTTAAAATATATTGTTTAAAGGTGATTATGTTGCATGCTTGCATTGATGCCTAGAAACAAAACTTAATAATTTAATTCCTGTCCTGTCTTAAAATACGTCGTTTTAAAAACACGATAACTTTGGATAAGGATGAGCTAAAGAAGTGCGTGGAGTAGTTTTCTTTCAACTTGACATGATATGTTTTTTGAATTAACGTGATTGTAATGTTCCGTTTGTTTCAAATTACTTGATTACGATGTGACATTCAAGTTTCATACTTCATCAAATTCCAGATGAACAAGATTACTGCTCATTAGCTTCGTATTTATTTATTCTTTTTTTATCCAATCAGAATCAATTTAAAAGTCCAATTGTATAGTTTATTGGTAAAATGTAGAATTCTTTTTGTGTCATTACAATGTAGAGGGGAAATCTCTTAAAGCTGCCAATAAGCTACAATTTTCCCCCCCGATGTTATCAATATATTCTCGTATTTTTTTATAATTTATGTTATAACTGATATATTTTAATTGATATTATAAATATATATTATTATAACATTTTAAGATTTATGGTATAATTAAAATATTTTCATGATTTCTACCTGCTCTTTTGCGTATTACAATGATTATTTCTAGCCACTACCACAAGAACCTCTCATGCTTATGACGGCAGTATCTCCTTATAATGGGATTGATGATCAATTCCTTGACCACCAAATGCATTCATTCAAGGGTAATTATAAGGCTGCTAACTATCTTCTTCCACAAGAAAGGCGAAGAAAGGAAACCTGGCTTGATGAACGGTAACTGATTCCGGACAACATTAGATATCAACCCTTAAAAATCCATAACTATCTTCGACGTCAAATGTTTAACTCGAATTCGGGTGGTGAATCAATGAACAAGGATATGGATTTTCTTGATACTTGCTCAAAGATGTTTAATCCATTCCTGTAGGGTTTCCTCCTTCAGCTGACTTGTGGTTCTTTGAAGGGATATAAATTGCTCAAAAATGCTCCTTTCTGGTAGGCCATACCCTTTTAATTCACATCCTAATCAATAATCTCAACCAACAATTTTTATGAATGAATGAATTCAGAAATTGTGTGCAATAACGAAGTCAAGTTGAAGACAACAGTACTAACTGAAAGTGTTGAGGGACCGCACTCATAACAGCAAACCAGATGTTTACAAAACATTATTATTCAAGTTTCACTCTGCCAAAGAGACTGCATTCTCATAGGCAACCTGATAAAACAAAATCACAAAAAGTTTCAAGATTTCAAACACACATTCTTCTACTCGGACTCTTGTTTCTCGAAAAAGGTCCCCTTCAACCAATCAAATGGCTGGCAGACAAAGGAAAATGAAATTATTCAAACATTAGCTCATAAACAACTGTAATCTCCAATGAATGATTTGCTATCAGGCACACTCTCTACCCCCACCCCTTTCTCAAAATTCTTAAAGTGAAAAACAACATAAGACTCCCATCAATAATCATATAGCAGTGCAAACAAAAATACAGAGGCAGTTGACAATAGGACAAATCAATCATGGAAAAACAAAAATGAGCAATTTGTAGAGGATGATATCAAATCATTTTGAATCAGAACAACAACATAAAAGAAGAAATTATACTCGATGACTTCTTTAAAGCAATACTCTAATCGATCGCAGTAACACCCTAATAAAAAATATATCCAAATTTAAAACCTTACCAACAAAGTGTATGTGGGCAATTCACAACATTCTTTTTCACTATTTAACGTTTCCTATACTTGATTAAGGGGGGAGAAGAAGGTTAAATAATCCACAAGAACTCTTCATTGATTTAAAAGTTATCATGCAAGTCTTTGAGTCCCCATGTTCAATTGGAAAGTCCAATTTTCCTTATTAAATAACGTCATAGCCACACAGAAAATAGAAGCAAACATGATAATGAAAAGCCTAGGTTTTCATCTAACTAGATAATTAATGAAGCATCAATGTCTTCGAACCCTGCATTCAATATGATACTAGTATTAAATGGTCATGGACCATATCATTAGCATCAACCGTTAAATCACATCAATAGAAGAAAAGATTTGTTCCGAGGCATACATATTAAGATTTAAGACGCGCTGATTAGAAAGAGAAGGCCCTTTTCCTTTTGAGGAAATCCCTAGATAACCAATCAAAGTGATTTTCATACGGATCTAATAGGAATATAGTAATAATTGTTCGAAAGAATGAAACCTGGATGAGCCAAAGAGCGGTGGTGGTGGCAGCGACACCCCACATGGCAGCAGCCTGGATGTCCGCAGGGTGTGGACGGCGCCTAGGCTTGAGGAACTTGAACATGGTCTGTTCACCTGCCATTTCCTTGATCCGATTTCAAAACCCCGACCTTTCAAGTATAGACGATGATGGAAATCTGCTACTTAATTTCTATTCTTTCGCTCTCCACAAAAGTCGAAAGTTCTAAATCTAATCCTTAACTACACTAATTTAGGGTAAATTATATAAGATAGTACTAAATTTTAATAAAAAATATTATTAAACTATAAATTATTATTATCATAGTATTAATATAAAAAATAATCACTTAAGATCACACAAAAATCATTAAAAAAATGATAAAAAGTTAAAAAAATTAATCAAATAAAATCGAAGAAAAGATAAATACAAACATATCCAATTGTATCGATAAAAGAATAAAAATATTAGTTTTAAGATATATAAACATTTCAATGTATATATTGATTTTTTCATTAAATTATAAAACGTTTTAATTTAATTATAATATATTTTAATTTTAAAAAATATAAAAAATATTATTAAGTATCACCTTAAAGTTACTATTAAATAATAATAATAATAATATCAATTTGGTGTCTACTGTTATTATTATTTGTTTAAATCTTAATCATGCATGTAGGCTATAGGATTATTTTCTGGGCATGAATTTTTTCAATTGTATATTTTTTTTCTAAAATTTTTAATAATATAAATCAAATCGAAATCAAATATATTGTTTACTTTTAAAAACAAATTTAAAATACATTAAATTATATATTAAAATTAAATTATACTTTTTTAATCAAGTCGGGATCGTTGTATATCAAAATCTACTCTTTTTCGCACATTATTACTTCTTGTTATAGATTTTTTTTAAATAATATAAATTATTACAAAATAATATATATTTATAATATTTCTTAACTATTAACACCGTACAAACACATAATGTAAATATAATTATTCGTCTAAAATATGAAGTAGTCAAGATTCGAAACCGAAAGAAATGAATAAGTATGTTCATCTAGAAGCAAGGGAGGGAAAAGTGAAAACCCATGGAAACTGCCATTCATTATCACTCGTCATTACTCCTACTATTCCATTCCCACTTTATTATATTACTACATTTCAATAATCAATCTGCCACCCATTTCATGTTACATTTAAATAAAAAATAAAAAATCTTGGATGATTTTTATATAATTATTGATATTTAGATTGATTATTTTTAAATTTTATTATAGAGGCAAAAATTTTAATATAATCTATTTAATTTATAACATTATATATATTTTAAAATGTATTATCTAAAAAAATATAATATCTCATTTTATTAAATTAATTAATAGCTAACAATTTGATAGGTATGACTCATAAATATACCAGTAAAGAGGACAATGTTGATTTTGTAATTATGTACCAGGGTTTTCTATTATAAATAGAGATGTAACATAGACCTAAAAAATCATTGAATAAAACTTCTAGCGCCGCCTAAGCACCGAGGACGTAAGCACATTACCGAACCTCGTAAAACTCTCGTATTCTTTTATTTTCTTTACCCGTTTTCGTCAACACATTTGATGGTTTTAATATTACTTGTAAAATTTAATTATCATGAGGCTCTCTCTTAGGCTGGCCTACCTTTTAAGTTTATATTTATTGGCTTGACTAATACCCCTTTCTTTTTTCCTTTTCTTAACTGAACAAATTGAATTACATTAACTCTTCTATAACACTATGCTGTTTATACAAACGAAATAGTTCCACCACATGCTTTGGAGGGTTTGTAAAAAGGACTTCTCGCATCGGTAAGTCTCGAGACAAAGTCACCAATCGATCCGTAATTGTATTATGTGCATGTTGAGCATGACTTATGTGAACCTTCCCATCTCGTTGAAGTAATTCTTTGATCACAAGAATCAGAATATTGTCTTGGTGATCTGAGCTAGATTTCGAAATATAGCTTGTAGTCTTAGAATTATCAGATTCCAATTTAACTCATCTATATCCAAACCTCCATGCATGTCGGAGTGCGTCTAATATAATCCACAATTCTGCATTGAGCATCCAACATTTCCCTATGCTTCGAGAAAAGCCAAAAAGTTAATTGCCATGATCCGATCGAAACACCCCTCCCACAGCAGCATGATCATTCACAATGTCCACCCCACCATATGTATTCATTTTAATCCACTCAACCGGCCATCTCCTCCATGAAGTGGCACTTGAGATTTGAACTATTGTTGATGCATCACACCGACTAAAATTTTGTAGTGCGCCTTGAATCTTCCATGTAGCGCTAGCTCATGCCCGACAACATGAACAGGGAAAAGAGTAGACCGTGTAGCATTCTGGTTCACAAATGACTCGGTCGTCTCATGTTCTCTCGGAACCAGTCCTCTATAGGAAACGAATTGAACTCTCGAAGTCTACTCGGTCGAATCAAGGTATTCCAACATCCCCGAGCTTTTGAGCAGTCACGTAAAGCACATGTAATACATCTTCCGAGTCATGTTTACAAATGTCGCATCTATTATCAAGAGCCCCTCTCGTCGTTGGTGAGAAGGTTACCTCTCAATGCAAGCCAAGTAAATACCCGCATCTTTTAAAGTGTATCCCTTTCCTTGATCAAATGCAAATAATTTGTAGTATCACAGTACAGAGGTTGGTTCCCGATTTCCAACCGGAGAAAAAGATGCTAACTACTTGTTTTATAAATTAAAAAAAAACATAAAACCAGTTGGATATTATAATTTACGTAATCTGAGTTGGAGATGCGTTTATTTTCAAAATATTTTACAACAAACCACATGCACGATTATTTTCATCTATTGGACACACTGTTTTTATTTCTCTTCAATCTCAACGCCTAAAATTATAAAATATGGAAAACCCTAAAACAAATACTCCCATTAGTTGTTTTTACAGTAAATCCGGAGGAAAAATAATAGAGTAATCATTGAGAGCCGAGATTCAATACCATGAAACGTCGTGAATTTGAATATTTTTTTAATACCATTTGGATTCAAATATTTTATTTACAGCTGATATTTAACAAAAGAAAAAGGCGGGGAGATGATGGGGTCAGGGTTGCATCATGCATAAACGTCAGCTATATTTTGTCAGCATTTAAAGCGAGCTTTTCCTATCAATACCATTACCACCCGTTCCTCACAATTTCCTTTCATTTGCTTCTCCTTTTCCTCAGATCTTATCTACATATAATTTTCTGGGCTAATCGCAGCAAAGAAGAATAAAAAAAGCTTTTTTTTTTCTGGGTCGGGTGGTGCTGATCATAACTATGGGTAGTGATGTTTCAGCTTGGCCCCTGAAGCTTTCTGGTAAGAAGAAAAGGATAATAGAAGAACTTGTACAAGGCCAAGAATCTGCCAACCAGCTACAGATTCTTTTCCATAACTCCTCCCAAGAAACTGGGCACCTCTCATCGTCTAAAAAAGAAGCACTTATCGACAAGATCTTGAGGTCTTTAGATCAGACACTTGCTGTGCTAAGTTCTGTTGAATCTGCTGAGGTCTCCCAGTCCCAGACTGCCTCTAATCAAGATTCTGTCGACACCCGCAGCAAGAGACCTGCCTCTAAGGACAAGAGAGGCTGTTACAGGAGAAAGTAAACCCTGTTTTTCCAGCAAAAAAAATAAAGCCTTATTTGGATTGTTTCGAGCACAGAATATAATAGTAATTGGATGTGTTTTTTTTCATTGCAGGAGGGCTGCACAAGCATGGACAGTTGCTTCTGATACAATGGAAGATGGTCATGCTTGGAGAAAATATGGACAAAAAGGGATCCTCAATTCCAAACACCCAAGGTAATCCACTTCAGCATTTCATTGTAGAATTTTATGTTAGAGTAAGATATAAAATTATAGGGGAACAAAAGACACTAAGTCGGAAATGTTATTCTCTTTAGAAATTTCGAGTTCATACAACTATGTTTACAAGATGTGTGTGCCTTCATTGTTAATTAACAAAAAAAATTATGAACATATACAGCTTTTTAATCACTCCAAATTAATTTAAAGAAAATTTAAGAGATAAAAACTTATAAAAATTTGAAGGATAAAAATATATTGTCCAAATTAATTTAAAGAAAATTTAAGGGATAAAAACTTATAAAAATTTGAAGGATAAAAATAAATTATCAATAGATAACACAAAAATAAAATATCTAAATTATACAAGAATTAAAAAGTTTCAAGGGTTATTATTCCTCCAACCTTCTTGATTCATCCATGATTAAAACTAATCGTGCGGTTGAATCAAACAGGAGTTACTATAGATGCACTCGCAAGTATGATGAAGGTTGTCGAGCCACCAAACAAGTCCAAAGAATGGAAGATGGTTCTCAAATGTATAGGACCACTTATATCGGAACCCACACCTGTATGAGCTACTCATTCAAGGCTCCTCCCTAATCGTCACAAGTTCTGAATGTTGGGAAACCGGTACTGTCGATAACGGCGATTCCAAAATCCTGATCAACCACCACCACAGTCAACATTTGGATCCAACTCCGACTACTCTGGCTGTAAAGCGGGAAACTAAGGAGGAGACATCGACGACACCGAGTGATGTTACGGACTTGGATTCTATCATGTGGAAGGATTTAATGGGTGATGATGAGTTTGAATATTGCTCGGAGCCTGCTGAGATGGTGTCTAACACGTACCCGTGGTGCACGGAAATGAGTTGTCGGAGTTTTGAACTGGATTTTGGAATTAAGCCTCTAGAGTTTGAATTTGATGAGTTGTAAATATGGCTTCCCATGTAATATGATGATGTGGAGTTATAAGAAGCATTTTCAAGGAGTGAATAATGAAGCTATTTTTGAACTTTTTTAGATGTTTAATTTAGTCGTAACTTTAAGCAGCATATTATTATAAGTTTATGTGTGTTTAAATTTATAATATTCAAAATATTCAATAGGACTAAAGGTTATATTAAAATATTTATTAAAACTTTTCTAATACATAATCTTAAACTGTGTAGTAAATAAGTGATTTTAAATAATCTTAGGTACTGGACAAACATGAACTTTCAACCATCCTTATCCAAAAAGACATAATAGAGATGTGGGTCACATGTATAAATCAATCAGTCATATTCGGCGGTCATTTTTTGCATTTGAAGTTGCGAGGTCAATAAAAGTAAAAAAAAACAGAT